GTGGCCTTTGACCCCTGGAATTTTTCATCTCCATCTGTAGCTACCCGAGTACTTTCGACGCCGCTTCGAGAGTTTGTGGAGTAAACCATAACCAAAAATCTGGCGCTCGAGAGCCGCCCGTAACCAGCGCCATTAGTAAGGGTCAATTTTCTCAGAGGCGAGAAAACCCCTTACAAGCTACACGTTTTCTTTCTGATACAACCCTGTAACACTCAAGAATTTTGTTAAAAGATGTTATCTGGCATAGGTAACCCGAACAACAACAAACTTTTGACATTTGAAAAGATAATTGGTGTTCTAAACCGGTAATACAATTTTTTGGCATTAATAAGCCTATAACGATTTTTGCTGATTCTTCACAATCGGCGGTAGCTGCAGTACCTATTGCCACAAAATAATTTACCTGCATATTAACCATCTAAACCTTTAAGTGAATCACAAAAAAATTGAGCGTGCACTATTTGCTGTTCGTTTTGGTTTAGAACGATTTCATTAATGTATTGTCACAAACATGTCACAGTAGAAAATTACCATAAGCCTCTTTCAATTATTAAAAAAAAACAACTAATGTTAAGTCAAATGCAGAAATATAATACAAATTTAAAATGATATATACTTGGTTCTTAAATATATCTTTCTAATGCTTTATCTAGAGCTCACGATGAACAAATTAAATCTGAATTTCATAGATAAAATTTTCATAATTTAGATGAAATTTAGTAGCTCAAATATATTTAGTCCCAAATAATAAATTAAAAGTTAGTAAAAATAAATTGAAATTAAAAACGAAATTCAAAAAGATAATGAAATGATGTTTAAAAATTCAAGAACAATAATTCAAAAAAATATTAAGAACATATTATATTCTACAAACATTACACTGAGGTAAGAAAATGATTTAATTACGGACTAGAGAAATGGTATATTGACCTGATATGTCAAGGGACATTGATCAGTTAATAGCTGATCAATATCAATGTCAAGCTTGTGCGACCCATGCAAAATCAAATCTGAAAGAACCACTTTAATAACATCTAATTCCATGGCATGTCGTGGCAGAAAGATGCATCAGATTTATTTAAAATAGATAATAGAAATAGACAATATTGTTGTTGCTTATTCTAGGAAGTAAAAGTATTACTTTTCAAGAGGTTATACCTATTTTAATGAAAAAACAATATCATGACAAGGAATTTCTGGTCTATTTATATCTGAATGCAGAATTCAAATATTTGTAGAGTCAAAAACATTTAAAACAAATAATGATCTCGTAGAAAGAACCATTCAAACTGTGAAATATGCTTTTAAAAAATGCATTTTTGCAAATTGTGATCCCACTCTTATTGACAGAAATTCTTATTCACCAGTATAATTATTAAATAACATGTAACAACGTGTAAGAACAAATCACTAGAAACCTATAAAAATTAATAACAATAAGTACAGAAGAATTTTATTTCAGAAACAACAAAAACCATAAATTAAAATGACCTAACAATGATGACATTGTCTGTGTAAAAGGAAATACACAAAATACTACTGGATAAATTACAAGCATAAATAAAAGACTTAATTCATATAACAGTAAAATGTTTAATTCTGATCAAACTATCAGAAAAAGCAGAAAAACATAAGCAAAAGGTCGATAGACATTAACAAAATGTTTACCTCTAAAAAGCAAATTTGCACTTTTTAATTCTTCTGATGAAGATGATAAACCACAAAATTGTGTTAAAAGAAATAATGGAAATGTAACAAACTTGGCTTCATTATCTCCGTATAAAATGAGATTTGATCGAACTCTTAATAGCCCAAGAGCCCACTGCAAATTTTTACCGTCAACTGATAACGAAATTAAATATACCCCAAAAGCATGGAAAAACATCGTACTTTACCAAATGGCACCTGTGCCAATCCCTATCCTGAGCAAAGTGGCTTAAAAAATTATTTTATATTAAAAAAATCACATAAAGCATGACAGCGCTAATTTTGTTTGCCCTTAAAGTTTTACAGAAAATAACATTCAAATATATCTTGATATATATCGTTAAAGAGGAACATTTTCTTCCTCTTAACATCGCACAAAAACATCTATCTACGATTAGTAGGTAAAAATCATTAAAAATATGAATCAATTTTTGCTGATTTAAAAATTTATTTGTATGCCTGTAGTTGTGATTAATTTTTACAGGTTGCCATAGAAACGACAAAAAACTACTATGATTATGGTTTAAAATAATTGCCTAACGTGAGTTTATAATTATTATTGACTATCTCTGCAATTGGTTTATAAAATTCCATCCTTCTTCCTTTCACAAATAAACATGGTTTAAAAGGTAGGTAAACATATTAATAATTCAGGTTTAAAAGCTAGGTTCACAATGAATTAGGATTGTAATTTTCAGGAAAAATACAATTGTCGCTATCATAACTTAATATTAGAAGAGATTAAAAAAGAATTGGGTAGTAGAAGAACCGATAATTGGAACAATCTCTTGGGGCTGAGACAGGCCAAGATACTTCTGGGTGAATATAACCAAAAAAGATCGGAAGCCTGCATCTGCCTGAGCAAGAACAGGCTACGTATTGTAACAGGGATCCTTACCGGGCACTGCCGACTAAAAGGACACCTAAGTAAACTGAGAGTAGTAGAGGATAGTGAGTGCCGATTCTGTGAGGAGGAGGACGAAACCTCCATTCACATCCTAACTGAATGTGTAGCACTCCAGAATCCAAGGGCACTATATCTAGGAGGATATCAAATAGAAGAGGGAGACTTACCTAACTGGAAGCCACTTCAAATCCTACACTTCCTTGAGAAAATAGGATTGGAAGGGTCGCTATAGGCATTAAGACATTTCCTTAGTGCAGTGGCGACAGAAGGGGGCACAATAGATCTTTTAGGTCGCAGTGTATAAACACCCCATTATCAACATAACATAACATGGCTTATGTGATTTTTTGAATATAAAATATTTTTTTTAACCACTTTGCTCAGGATAGGGATTGGCACAGGTGTAATTTGGTAAAGTACATGCCTTTGGAGCATATTTTATTTCGTTATCAGATGACGGTCGAAATTTGCAGTGAGCTCTTATACTATAAGGAGGGAACGCATTAGGCAATTACGCTCCTGTCGCATTGCTAGCCTAGCTTACCTCGCGGTCTCCTGAGATTCATTGGAAAAAATAGAAGGAGAATCGAACGCATCGAGATAGAATGAAGTCGAGACGACATAAACACTATTTTGCGATATGACAAATGGACACACTTTGAGTGATGGAAAAGTGAAATCAAAATGGCGACTTAATAAATTTATATTTGAAGATTGACGAAATGGAAGTGTTTTTATAACATTTAAGCGACGCTATTTAAAAAAATTGGCATTTATTCTCACCAAAACTGACTAGTTCTTGACTACCTCGAGTTTGACATATGACATAAAAGTGTAATGCAAAAGTGCAGACACTTTAATATCGTCATAACATCTCCTCTTTATTCTATCTCAATGGGAGAAAGTTATGCGAGCGAGCACAGTTCGAGAACACCAAGTGGAAATACATGCGTTATAAAATATGGGAAAGAACTTCACCGCGCTCGCTCACCAAGCGACGGAACAACGATTGCATAATACGTTCCCAATTTTAGAGTTCCCAAGATATATTAATAATATTTTGTAAATATGTATATAATTATAGTTCTAGGCTGGGGGATGTAAAGACTGTATTTCATTCTATTTTATATTGAAGTTTGGACTACAAATTTTTAACTAGAATATGTAGATATAGTTCCCGGACTATAGATATAAATATATTTCTTGAAAGCATAAAGACGGAAAATAAAGTTCAGTTTTAAAATAGTTGTTTCAATGTTAACAGCTAGAACATCTAGTTTTTTGTTTTCTGCTATTTGTTTCCATCTAACTTTATGAATATCTCTTACACGACCCGTTTCTATAAATTTATTCTTAATTTTGTTTTACGTGTTTTTGTTTTATATCCACGTCCAATCATTATCAGAATTTAATTTTTTTACGTTTCAGTAAGTTTTATTTTGATAAAAACACTTGAACAAAGTTTAATTTGAAATTAGCAATCTTGATAAAAAGCACATTTTGAAAAAATAACTCAGAGATAGGAGTGTACTCCATAGTCAGCAAAAAACTAACATTTTCTTTCCAGTGACGGACTTTACAAAATGTATTTTGGAACAATGAGTTGAAATTAAATACTTAAAAAGTTACCTATTGTAATTTTAAAAATATTTTTTTCGACAGTTTACCCTCCTCAAACTATTGATATGATTGGAGAGATAATTAGACCTTTCAAATAATGTATCGCTCATATAGATGATCTCAAGAATAAAAGGAATAGGTATATATCTGACACAACGCGAGTTTGAAAATAAAAATCGACGGGTTTCAGTATTTTTTCCAGAAGTCTCGAGTTACGAGAAATAATTTATACCACACTGCGTTGAATTTAATAAACATAGTAGGTATTTTCCAATCATACATACTAGTCTATGGTTTATTCGAATCGGTTGAAAACCCTACTAAATTCGTATTTATAAACATTGTAGAGAGATACCTCAGTAAGTTTTTACGTATTTTAAAAGTAGGCAAAATTCATTACATATTCTTTTGAAATTTTTAAAAATATTTGGCTCCTATAAAATTAAATTTTCATATTCACATTTAAAAGTTTTTATAATCTTGAATCTTAAAAGTCAATTTGTAGATTTTACATACTTCTAAAATCCTGTATTAATACCAAGTTATATATTTTTTTTTTGTTATTTTTAAACGTGTAACGAATTTACAGTACATTAAACTATTCGGATCATTCCTATACCTATAGTATTGCTAAAAATACCCTGTCGCTTCTGTACCTTAGGCTTTAGCTTACGCATGACCCCTTAAGAACGTAATATATATTATGTAACGAGCTTCATAATAATTAGTGTTGCACTGTCAAGCATGATGATTCTTTTTAATACAGCAGAAAAAATGCTCGGAGGTTGTAAAAAGGCATGCTAATCTGAACACTCTGAACTTTATCATTTATAAAAAACAACCTTCATGGATCCACCAGGAGTACAAGAGAAGATCCAAAGATATGGAAACTGAGACCGAAGATGAATATCTTCTGATCTACGATGGCTCTAGCGGGAGCTTTTCAAGCAGCGTGTCCTTGTCTGATAGAAGTGTTGATAATATTTTGGAAGAATATAATTCAGATGTTCCTTTTGCAGGTATGTGGATTTAATTACAAAACTAAAATAAATCTAAGTACATTTATTTATTTATTTATTTATTTATTTATTTATTTATTTATTTATTTATTTTTTTTTTTTTTCGGTAATTTACATAAATGTAGATGTAGGAGTTTGGTAAATATATTATTTTACTAGCTCTACAGAAAAATCTTTTTAAAATATTAATTACTGATATTTTTCTTTTCGTTATCTGTTTTAATCGAATTTTCCTTTTCATTATTTTTCCTAACGAAAATTAGGGATCATCATAACTACTTTTAATAAATGTAAGCAAATTATGACGACAAATTTGAGAAGGGAGATCGACAGAAACTGCGTTGGTACAGTTGACTGACGAAATCCAGGATCCATTGACAAAGTATGGAACATTAGCGCATACCTTCTTAGATAAAAGGAGTATTTGATTATCTTCAGCACCAGAGACAACCGAGCGAGACGTGAAACTCAATGTATTTTTTTTGTTCGGTAAAAGTTGTTTGCGCGATTGTAATGGCAACCAGTCTATGATGGCGCCATTAGTAAATTTTCTTCTTTTCTTACTGCTGTGCGTAACCAGTCATAAATAGCGGGAAAATTTAAAAGTGCTATAGGGCGGGAAATTCAAACATGGATTTAGAAATAGTTTTTCTATACCAATTTACAGGAGAAACAAAAATTATTGTTTCACTGTATTTTAAAAAATGTAAAAGCTTTCAATAACATTACATTTTTTATCATATAAATGAAAATTTTAATGAAGGAAGTTTTAATCATAGTTTAATATAAGCAGTGAACATAGTTTTTATTACTCTTGTAAATTTCGCTAAAAAAACTTCAAAATTCTATTGATTATTTTAAAGGGCGCAACCGAGTTGGGCCAACTACCTGCTATAATCCCCGGTAACCGCTTGGCTATTTTAATCCTTTAAACTCATTAAAGGGCTATGTTGAGTTAGGCCAGAAAATAAAAATTCTTATTTGTAAACAATGTTTATTTCATATAGGTTCAAATACATAATAAAGCACAGGTTATATTATACTATTTGGTGCATATTTAAAAGCAATGCATTGAACAAAATTGAATCTACTTAACTCATTACATTCCCGGAGTTTTTCCGATAAATATAATTTTCTTTTTTCGATGCGAGGCCGTAATTTTTTTACATACTTGTTAGCGCTTACAATTTTTACATATATTTCTGTTTGAAAGTTAAGTAAAATTTCCACAAACTGAAAAATATTCGGATGACAAGAATAAAAATGGCTAATAAAATAATGAATGAAATGACTCACAAGAATTTGTGGTACGTGTCATCGAATCTGAGGCTGAAGCCCATACAAACGGCGAAAATGTAGCATTTGCCCCAATATAGTTATCTACTAAATAGTCGCAAAATTCAATTACTTTTTGGTTACCTACTACATCATTGTTTTCAAACAAATCAAATGCAAAACAGTCACTAACTTCTTCTGGTTTTAGAAATGGAAGACCAAAGAAATATTTCAAATATTTTCCTACTTGATTTTCTGAACGGTAATCAGCGCTTAATCCTAAATATTGAATTTTTCGATACCAGGCTTGGGATAAATGAAAGCGACAGCCTAATATTTTTACGTTTTGCCACATAACTTTAACTGCATTATGAATCGCTAACTCAAAATCAATTACAACAAAAGAAGGTTTAAAGTAAAGACTTAATGTTTGACATTTTGCATCTAATAACTCAAATAATTTAAGATACACAGATTGTGATTTTGAGGGTAATAAGCAAAAAACTAAAGGTAAATAGTGTCCATTTTTGTAACCGTGAATTGTAAAAAACTGTACATGATATTTGGTCGAATATTGAAATGTACAGTATCAACTGAACATAAAAAATTAAAGTTGCTTCTGCAACCAAACACAACTATCTGTGAAGGCATATCGCAAATAGAAAGAAACTCTTCGTTTTTATATGTAATAGGATTCATCTTACCTAAACAAGTAGAAACAATTTTTGGGGAGCGTGGGCATAACAGAACGTCTTGCGGCATAAATGTTTTTTCGCACTCTATGAATGTCGTGCGAGGTGATATCGTCACAAAACTCGTTCTTCCTTAATTCTTGATGGATGAATTTTGAGGGTTTTTCTGACAGGTTCTGCAATGCTTTCCTTTTAATGCAATTGCTAAGGGCCTGTCGTTTTGAAGAGTGTCGTCTTCCTCATGGTTGTGATTGACATCACTTTTCTCGTTTATTATTTGGTCACGAAGGATATAAACCTTGGATGAATACTTGTTTTTTTAACACATCGCCATCGCATTTCACCATTGACAAGAGTATTTGCCTCACAAAATTTTAAATTGCCTATAACTAACAACTTTTTTCCCTTTTCGCTAAAAACATATTTGACTTCCATGATCGTAATGTATACTTGGTGACAATTAAAGACAGAATAAAATAGTACTTTTCTATTTTCCTTACATCCATAATGTATCTACAGTCCTACACATCATTCTCCTAATTACTTATTAATAATTGACAAGGGATTAAAGAAGGTCGCTGGCCTAACTCAACTACCTAGATTTACGCCACCTGCAGCGCTAGCCTAACTAGCCTAACTCAGCTTCCCCGATTTTAAATATTGAAACTTGCAAAAATAATACACCAAACTCTTTTTCTATAAATTATATTTTTGTAAGGTACAGAAAAACAAACTACAATTGCTACGTTTAGAAAGTACCTCGTACCATTTTGTGACAAATTACAAAGAAAATCACAGTTGTTATATATTCATAATATATTTAAAAAATAATGTAACAAATATTTTATAAAATCTATTCGATCCCTTTTTGCCAGACTATCGTAAGTGCCATTTGAACAAATGTCGCTTACGTTAGTCTGGCAAAGAGGTATCGGTCATGACTGTTTATTTTAATAGAAATAGAAATGTATAAGGTCCGAGACGAGTAAGTTCCCATCCTGTCAACTGGATCGGAACCTGCTAGACCCATTCCGTCCACTCTTTGCTTACTCCTCTTAGGATCATCAGGACCAATAGATTTATATGCCATGCCTTGTAAAAGGGAATGAAGGATGACATACTATCATTAAAACATGACATTGATGAAGGCTTACCCTTGTTATGTCGTCTGTTTGTGTATCTTGTGCGTGTACATTCCTGTTGTGTTCCCAGTCATGTAAGAGTTTTCCTAGTCTCTTAATTTGGTAACTAGGTGGACCTTCTCCAACTAGTCGTCTAATCTATTCGATCCGTTCTGCAGCAGGAGTTACTTTTCAAACGTAGCAAATAATAATATTAATAATAATTAATAATAAACACTCTTTAAAGATGAATACATTTTTGTAATTCTTTTGTCGTTGTCCCTTACCTGTCTCTTACACCACCTATTTTCCATACTCTTTTATTTATAGATTACTTTACGATGTTTGAATGAATATAACATTTTACCCATAAAAAATCTAATTTCGAATTTAACTCTTTTTCAATTTCATTCGAAACAATTGGTATATTACAATTTATTATCAAGGAAATCTTCTAATAAAGTTAGAGCAGAGCCTACTCAAACTACTGGTTGTTCTGCAGGATAAATTAACTTTTCTTAATATTGATCTCTCTCTAAAATCCAAAACCAACCTGATGTCCACAAATTTATTTTCTAATGCATCCTGATTTAAAATTCTTGCTTTAGTGTTTCAATTTTTTCGTTTAAATGACTCTGCAATCTTGTAATAGCCACTAGAGTGGCTATTAGCATACATTTTACTTCTGTTCTAGTAGGTGGGAACTTTGTGCTGCCATTAAAGCTGACAAGACATTAATTTGCATATTTAATGAACAAAAGTAGCTATAACATGGATCTCTATTCCAATTCACCTAAAATAATTATAGCCATTTTGTAATATATTATTAAACACACACATTATACAGTACTTGTTGATTTTCATAATAAATTGGAAATTACTTACCTCTAGAAAGAAACGTGTACAAAAACGCGAGTTTGGTTTCAGAAACTGCTTCATGCAAAAAACAATATGCGAAAATAAACACTTCCCCTCCAAAAAAAAAAAACTAATTAAACAACAAAATCAAACTCAAAGAAATAAATGTGGCCCAAATAAAATTAATTTTAATAAAATACACACGTTCATTAAAACAAAATTCATAACATTGTCAGTTGTCAGTTCTAATCTATACGTCACACGTCGACGTCAAAAAACCAGCAATATCAGCCACCTCTAGGGCTGGTGTTAGTTTTATTGGAGAGAGATCAATATACGTAAAGATCAATGTAAAAGAGAAAGAAAATCATATATGTAATTTAAATGGACCACCGAACAAATTTTCCTATTAAGTTACACGTTTATGTCAGCACGAATCTGTCAAAAGAGCTCTTTAATACATAGTAGATAGTACCATATCCAGAAGGAACCGATATCTACGAGAACGGCAGAGACACAGATAAGGTATACTATCTGCATCTAAAATATCAGAAGGTGTCCACACGAAGGAGTTATATCTCCACTTATATGGATCCTGACAGTAGACTAACTTCTATGCAGATTTACTGACTTTGGCATAGCCTGCCAAGGTTTTGCTAACGACATGATTGTGTTTCTGAGAGCGAAGTTTTAAAATATTTTTTTTAGTATAAGCTATATTTTTACTTATATGGATCATGACCGTAGACGAACTTCTATGCAGATTGATTGACCTCAATATAGCCTGCCAAAGTTTTTCCGACAACATAATTATGTTTCTGAGAGGAAAATTTTAAAATATATCTTTGTTGCAGTATTTCTATTTCTTTTTATAACTAAATCGTATATCATTCTCTATCTCAAGAGAGATCGCGTGGTTGGTTCCTGAGAGCATGTTTTTGTTTGGGTTAGCGGTGCGTGGTTGAATCACAACACATTGTTTTAAAATATCAACAAAATAAGAACATGAAACGCTTGATCAACGTGGATTCGAAACACAAGTGGTTCCACAGTCCACCTTAATTAGGTACAAATGCCGGCAATTTTTTTTTTATTCATCTGGTTAATATACATTTGACGTCACGAAAACTCTATAAGTTTCTTTAACTATACTGCGAATTATTATTCCATTTCTGCGAGTTATTGAAATGTTTTTCTTCTGAATCGATAACTTTCAGGTTTAATAAAAGGCGCCGCCGCTAATGTTCTAGAAAACATCAACCCCAATACTCCCGCCGAACGTCCGAAGACCCTGAAAAAACTCAAACGATTCTACGACAGCACGAATGGTGATGGAATTAGAAGCGACAATGAAAAATCGTCTAGTTCCGAGAAAGAATTCGATAACAAAGAAAATAAAGAAAATAAGGTAAAATTGCAGGAAAACAAGTGTGTTTAAAAGGATCGTAAATCGTAACACCACAAAAATGAAGATTGAAACTTTAAAATTTGAAAATTTGTATTAGGTACCTATAGGGAAATATGTGTACTGTACATATCGTACTATCAATGCAATACTAAAACAGCTAGGAAAGTGATGTTTAGAGAAAATCGCCGTTAAAAACGGTCTGTATGTTTATATTAAGAAACAAACATAATTTATTATGGCTTAAATGTTTTTTTTTTTGTCATCGGCGTCGACTACTACGGCCATTAGCCTCGTGTTCTGTGTAGGCTTTGTTACTGTTTCCCAGCGCCACTTTAGGAACAGCACTGTTATTTAGAACCCAACAGTGAATGGTCGAGTGGGGAATCCTACCAAGGCATGAGAATTAATTTTAAATAATTAAATTAAATGAAAAAATCCCGACCAACGGTGGGATTCGATCCTGAGACCTTCCGATCTCAAACTCATGACTCTAACCACTGAGCCAACCCACCCCCCGGCTTAAATGTTGAATAGAAAACAATATTTGGTGGTGTGACATTTAAATTTTGTGTACTTTTTACATCTATTTCGTGTCTTAATTCAAAATTGCGATTTTTTATGCATTAGTGTTGTATTGATGGTACGAGGCGGTACCCGTTACTAATTTGCCTTAGAGGTCAAAATATGATGATCTGAGAAAAATGAGCTCTATAATTACCAAAAAAGTTACTGTATTAAAATATATTAATTTTTTTTTAACTTTTTAACAACTTTCTGATTTTTGTTCAAAAGACACCTTCTAAGGAAAAAAGGCGACCTATCAAATGTTATAAATGTTTGATATATGTAAGACAGTTCTTCGTATAGGGTGTTAAATTTTAACATGCGAATGAGACCGAAAATGTTGCAATTCAGGCGCTTGGTCTAGTCAGAGTCGTGGTCCCTCAACTCGTATTTCATCTCTTACAAGCAAGTCTAAATATTTCAACTTATACGTAGAATTCATGTGCCACATGTAGCCACTTTCTTGGCCCATATCTCGTGACTCACGTCTCAAATGCTAAATCTGATTCTATCAAAGGATTCTACGCACAAATGAATGAATGATTACCAGTTCTATTTTCCTCGGAACCTTGTAAACAATAACAAATGGTCTTATTTGTTCTGTCTAAAGGCGATCTGCAATGTAAAAAACCTATATAAAATTGTTTTAGTGAATTTCGAGTCTTTTTATATATTTAAATAAAATGGCACATAAAAGAAAGTAACCAGATCTTGAACATTAAGAAATAAAAAAAAATGAATATCGAAAGGTGGATAACACACTGGCATCTATTTTAAAAATTACGCACAAAGTAAATATAAAAATTATTATTTTACTTAAATATACTGGCTTTATAAAAAAATTTAATGTCTTATTTCGATTTACATAAAATAAGAAATTTGGTGATTTTTTTGTTTACTAGAAATGACAAATTTTAAAGATTTTTGTTAAATTGCCACAGCACTGACAATTTACCTGAAAATGCAAACAACGGTTGTATATGATATTAACTAGTAAATTTATCAGATCCGCGAAGAAAATAATAGTTATAATAAAAAAAAGTACCATTGCCACAAAAGGAAGGGAGCTGGCTTGAGGACCTTTTTTTTAGAAATGTAGGTATATAGGGCTCCGTCAAATATTTCGCTTTTCAAAAAGGTTCCGTCACCAAAAAAGTTTGAAAAACACTGGTATAAACTATACCTGCGTTTCAACTTTTGCCTCTTAATACTGCACACGAGTTCCCGTAAAACAAAGAAAACATTTTAATATTTTCACTTTCATCACTTTATTACTATTTAAATTTCAAAGTTTTATGAGTCAATGTCTATCCAAACGCCGACAAATAAAATTAAATTGTGACGAGTGAACAAATAGTAGTAATTCAATAAAATGACTACTTGGTTTGCAGGCTACTCTTTGGTGTTAAACAACAACCAAACTGCAATAATGGTGTCTGCATCTAGGGACATGTAGCCGACGACAATTTTAAACGGTATCTTCTTCATTTTGTTGCCGATTTTCCACTTTTGATGCTTTGGTAAAGAGCCACATACATCTAAAGTCTACATGTGAGAGATGAGATACGTTTTGTAGGACCTGGCATCGAAAAAGTACTACGCCTGCTAAGAAATTCCACTTATTTGTTTCCGGTCATCCCGGTGAAAGCTAGAAATAAATTATTGAGAGGTTAAAATGCAATTTAAAAAAAAAATATTGTTAAAGTCTAAATAACGTCTAAACCCGTATTTTCTAAATTGGTCCGAAATTTGTTGAGCAATTAGCCAAATACTATGAACTATAATTTTCCATATTTTGAGGACTTTTTTCAATCCAATTCAGATATCTCGAGGGTATACCGGAAATTAAATTGTAACTTCCGTTTAGAAAAAAATCAAATGGTGACAATATCGCCAATTCAAAATTCGGAATTTATTTATTTTTTAATTGAACATGCTGTAGACTAATACATTTCTGTAAAATTCTATCCTTTATCTATACAACGGTGTGTTTAGTTTCAAAATATTTTCGAAAATGGCTACAAAATTAGATCGAAAAGAAATGTTTACAAATACTAATATTAAATGAAAATTATTAGAATTATTTAGGAGGCTATGAACAGTTTGTGTTAAATAATTATTGTCGACTAGTAATTTTATGATTACCGACATTTTATTCAGAGATTTTTCGCCATGTTGGTATTTATATGCTGAAGTTATTTAATTTCCGGTATACCCTATTAAAATTGATTACCCTACTTAAGCCTCTAGTGAAAACCGCATTGGAATATTTTAATTGGTTTGGAAAATACAAATCTGGAAAAATATATTGCGAAAAAATTAATATAGTATTAAAATTTATTTTTTTGTCATCAATGTTTTACTAAATTCATTTTTACCAAATCTTCATATTTAAAAAACGAGATTCTGCTATTTCTATATATTCCTAAAACTAATAAAATTAAATAGTGCTCATATTAGTCATAGAACATAATGTTTTAAGACGACAAACATAAAATGAATATTAGAAAGTTATTCATAAAAAAATATTATCATATAATTGAATAAATGTTTTACATAAAAATAGGAAGTTCAAGAAGAAGTTAAAAAAAAAGTTCAAAATAATGTAACAAAATAGGTCAAATAATTATGAAAACATTTTTCCGAAATACAGGGTTAAAGATGAAAATTCAAAAATTATTAAAGGCTATAATTTTTGTATTCCTCAGTATAATTTTACTAAATATAGCAAACGTCTTTGGTGTCATTAGATACAACTATCAGCAAAAAAATCATTTAAATAAACCTTGCCAGTGGCGAACGGCATGGGTGAGTAACACTTTTTTCCCTTCTAAATTTTACGCCACTGTCCAAAAACATATCGTCGACTATTGGTCGTATCTCATTTTTTTCAAAATTGAGTTAGGTTGCTCAATAGATAACTAAAACTGCATACTTTGTATGCTGCTAACATTATTTGTAATAATAAATTACTGATGGAATAAAACATAAATGTTGGAATGTCGTATTTAATATTATAACATTTGATATTTTAGGTATAAGTCGTATCTCACTTTTATTTTTCAAATTTATGTTAGTTTGCTCAATTGATAACTAACACTGCATGCAAAAATATATAAAGATGTAACATTTCATATTGAGAGGTTCCCTAGAGAAAAATCCCACTATTGCAGAAAATCTTCTAAACGAGAGTACCTCCATGAAGATTTGTCATTGTCTAACATGTACGATATGTAAAAGAACGAGATAGATGGACGAGCAGTTGCTAGCTATAGTACCTACTATAAGATTTTTAAATCATTTAATTTGTCATTGAATCGACCGAAAAAAGACCAGTGTAGTTTGTCTTTACATTACAGAAAGGCCGAAGATAGTGAAAAAGAAAAGCTGCATGAACGATTTATTACTCACATAAAAAAAAAAGAAAAAAATAGAGATATAAAAGAAAAATGCAAGAAAGACTCGCAAAATAATCCAAAAGTAATAAGTGCTGTTTTCGACTTGCAGCAAGTGATATTTACCCATGATTGCAAGATATTCTATAAGAATAGACTAAGTAACTACAACTTTATAATTTACAATTTGGGCACTAGAGACTGTAACTGATTTGTCTGGCATGAAGCTGAAAACAAGAGAGGTTCCTCGGAAATATCCACGGCAGTGTATTTATTTTAACAAGGAAATGACAAAAGTGCCACTCAGACTGTGAATCTTTTTTGCGACGGCTGTGCAGGCTAGGCCAAAAATACCGTTATGGTTTTAATGCTACTATTTTATTGCAAAAAGCACTTATACAAGGTGTACCAATAAAAACTCCCAGGCCGGATATTTTGGTAAGTAATAGAGATATTTTAATTCTGCAAAAGCCAGTTCACAGAGCTTCAGTTTTAGATACAAACTAATTAATAGGTCAATATATAGATGGCGCTGCGCTCAATAATTTTTTTTCGATGGAAGGATCTTTCTTATGTAGCGCATCTTGTAAAAAATGCATTTTTAAGCAGATTTTGTTTTATGAACTAATTCAATAAATCTAGCCAATTTTTGATATACAGAGTGGGTCACTCAAAACAGTTTCATCCTGTTTTTCGGCATTAATCATTGGATTTTAGGAAATTGCTAAAACATTTCGATTTTTATTCTAAATTAAACACATTTTTACAATGCAGACATCTGTCATGTATCAACCCCCTCCCTTCCACTTCTCCAACTCCTTAATTTTAAATAAGGAATGTACCATGTATGGCAAATCATTGAAAAGGTAATTTAATTGGGAATTCAGAAATATTTCTGTACACTGCGTTACTTTAATTTTATCGCCCTCTAGCGGAAAAAAACTATTACGTATTATAGAGTGAGATACTACAATGCGTAGTACATCATTAAAAAGGTAATTTTATGGGGAATTTATAAATATGATTATTTATTGCAATACTTTTCATTGTACCACCCTCTATCGGGATAAAAAAACCTACGTATTATAAAGTGTGACACCTTATTTGAAGCAAATTTCATTACTGATTCAATGCACTACATAACATTAATATAAATATCCCCTATATTGCACTTGCCATAGTTTAAACATTATTATTGCTAACTTTATTTTGTTGCAAGTGCAGTATGGAAATATTTATATTAATAATGTGTGGTGCATTGAATTAGTAATTAAAATAGCTTTCAAATAAAGTGTCACACTTTATAATACGTTACAGGTTTTTTATTCCGATAGAGGGCGCTAAAATTAAAAGTATCGCAATAATCAATCATATTTATGACTTCCCCAAAAAATTACCTTTTCAATGATTTGCCGTACATGGTACATTCCTCATTTAAAATTAAGGGGTTGGAGAAGTGGAAAGGAGGGGGTTGACACATCGACAAATCGACCTGTTTTAGCATTTTCTTAAAATCCAATGAATAATGCCGAAAAACAGAATAAAACTTTTTTGAGTGACCCATTCTGTATATCAAAAATGGATAGACTTATCGAATTTGTTTATAGAACAAAATCTGCTGAAAAATGCATTTTTTATAAGAAGCGCTATATAAGAAAGATTCTTTCATTGAAAACATAATATTGAGCACAGCGCCATCTACATATTGACCTATTTAAAATTCATTTGTATCTAAAATTGAAGCTCTCTTAACGCTCTATGATCTGGCTTTTACAGAATTAAAATATCTCTATTACTTACCAAAATATCTGGCCTGGGAGTTTTTATAGGTACACCCTGTATAGACGAGATATTCTTAAGATTTTTCGAACCATATCATGGCCAGAATAAAGGGGATTCTGCTCACAGTGCGATATTTTATGCCTTAAAAAAATGTGAAGAAATTTTCATGCCGTCTCAACTCATACCCACAATTCGCCTCGCAACAGAAAACACCCATATAATGTGACTTTTGAGTTTAAAACTTTTAGGAAATTATCACAGGAGATTAGATCACTAAACATAAGGATTGATGATCAGAAAGAAAAAGTGAATTGAACAAAAATAAAAGAAGTAAAAATTTCAAAACAAAATTTACATAAAGTTTACTTCAAAGGTTGCCATAATACCGACATATACAGATCTTTAACTTTAAAAAGAAATATATGTTTGCAAAATGTCGCTTTAACACCTCTCAATTCTAGTCCAAATAAAATATGTGCAGAAAAATATAGGCATTTAAATTCATTTTGTACATCAGATATGCCGGTTACAAGAAATATAGAACACAAAATATTTTACCAAAATTTGCCTTATGAAAACTAATTGTTGATTTTGTTAAACATAATATATTGAATTATATTTTGCTGTGTTATATCGTTAATTAAATAGTTTTTATTATTGCTAACTACTAATAAATGTTGAAATAAAAAATGTAGTTAAACTACTAATGCTTTTTTTTCTGGCTGTGAGTTGTAATTAATAATATGGCATATTTTTTTTATGGCTATTGGTCGTAACTCCAACAAACTTGTAAAAAAACATCTTTAACATCGAACAACATAAACTGCAATGTACATAGCTCCCAGAGTGATCAAAGTACAGCAGAAAATCAGAGGAAACAAATCAACTTACTTTAAAATTTATCAGCAATTAAGGGGGTTATGATTGATATCCTGTATTATTTTTAACAGGTCTGTTATTTTATAAACACACAAATTACAACCTGTTCACAAATAACGTGCCTGTTAAAAATAACATTACCTGTCCATCATAACCCCGAAAGTGTTTCATTCCACGAAAAATCTTATTAAGGGCCTCCTGGATATTATTGTAAATTTGAGATAGACCAATAGCCAAAACAACGACGAATATGTGGTTCCGGTGGGAATTGAACCTACTATATCTGTCTTGTCGCTCCAAAGTCTCTCAAACATCAGGGCGCTTTAAGCAGCCTGCTATCTACAATTAAATTTAGGAACAAAAGATTTGAGAATAAGCATAATTTTTTTCTCGGATTTTTCACATTCATTATTTAAACATGGTTCCGACGTGCTATTGAACATGTAATATGTTTAAACCAAATATTGTAAAAAACGCTTTTTTTCATATTTATTTTCTTTTAATCTATTTTAAGGAATACAAAGATCGTGTATCCGCCTTGAGCCCTTTCGACGAACAGGAGGAATGGGCGAAAATCCAGGAGATAATGGCCTCTTTTGGCACGGGCATCGTCAGGGAATCGGTTTTTGTGGCCGAATTGGAGAAGGAGTTCCAAAGTCGATTAATGACAATAAGTTGTTCGCAACACAGTTTGGCTAACTCCTCGGAGACCAGTGGGGTTAGAACGGTGGAAAAGTGGTTGCAAGGATTGGGAATGGGGGATTACGCGGGCTTGTTCATGAGCAATGGATTCGACGATCTCAATTTCTTGGTAAGTCATTTTATTTTTCTTAATCGGTTAGGTGCGAACAAAAGTGAATATAGTTATTGTCAGATTAAAAAGTCCGTGTGGGCAAGATATATAAAACCAATGCATCTTAAATGGACGGTTCGATGTCAACGTTAAGATTAGTACGAATATAGTTTTATATTCTTTTTGAAAACCAAAATGTAATATTTAATGAAAATAAATTTGACAGAACTAAAAACTGTAAATTTGATAGATGGATTAATACATAATTAATGATCAAATTCGACGATTAAGGATGAAGTTACATGTGCCTGCAAGTTAATCAAATTGGTAATGTCAAAAAAACAAAATAAAAAGATTAAATTAAAGATGGTAAGTCTGTTTGGTCGTGAAAATTGATTCATTAGTGGATAACCGGAAGAGTGAATCCGGTAAAGAAATAGACGACGACATAATTGAAAAATGGTTTGAAACCGATTTGATGCCTAAATCTCTTTATATCGCCGTTCCAATTCAGCATTAAAATGTAGGTTCCTTGTATTTGTGCAACACGGAATCACACATAATAAGAATAGTTGCAGAGAAGGTCAACTACGTCATGTTACGGATCAGATTAATTAAGAAAAAAAATTAAGGTATATTTTCCCCATTACTAAAAACAGAAATAATCTAGAATCTTTGAAAACCTCCTAGACTTCTAAACTTCTAAACTATATTGCAAGGCTACGAAAAGTCAAAGAGGGACCAGAACGACCACTCACAGGACCCAAACCGATGCTCGACAGATAGAGTGTGTGGAAAACCGTTATTACATCAGTTTACTGATAAGGGAACTGGCCAGTCCCACGCATAGATGCTGAGGTCTTACAGCTCATAAGACCCCATATATATATATATATATATATATATATATATATATATATATAGGATGGATTACCAATGGGACACTGCTTGTTGAAACACCGTCATATGATGAGATTGCAACAGATATAAACTCTGTGTATAAAAGGAAGGTTCTTTATACCTCATTAGATAACAGGCTGTGACATCCTTTTTGGCGTAAAAGGAAAAAGAACTGGGGCATTCTATCCAACACTTGGTATAGAACCCAATAAAACTTTCTAAAAGACTATCGATAGATAGAGCCTGATAACTTATCAAAATAAGGGAGTACTCATTTTTCTCCAGATTTCTTGCTAAATGTCATACGTCAACGTGGAAACAGTTTTTTGAAAGCCAGTGGCTACTCACTGACGGTTTCTCTCGCGTTATTTCGAGAGAACTAAAACTCATCGGAGAATTTGACCACATCATTAACAGAGAAAGAATGACAAACAACTGGTTCAGTAAGATGTAAGGTGTTTGAAAATTTCAATTAAGGAGAATATATAATATGGATTCAGATACACTTTCTCTCGACAGGGCATTACTTTCTTTCTCTCGAGTTTGAAAATAGCTTTCCTGAAGAAGTGCAGAGCAGGAAAATATAATAGGCTGTGATGGTCTTGGCTAAATCTAATTCTACCAGCTTGTAACTTACGTACAAAGATAAATTTAAAAAAAAACATATGGACTAAAGACTATTTTCTATGGACTAGAGACTCAATTATTAATACTCGTAATCTTATCCTTTCTTAATTTCCACAAAAATTATATCGTAGTAGTCATTTATGGAATAAAATATTCGATGTAAAACTTTTAACCATTAAATATATTTAGGCCTATAGACAGAGAGAAACAGATCGTGAAATTAATAAATGAATTATTAATAACCTAAAGTAGATCTTTATATCTGTAGGCTGACTCATGAGTTTAGAGGATGCACACACAAAGTGCCGTGGGGTAACCCACCCTCTACACGTTACAGAAATAGAACCTAAAATAGATGACGGTAATTGCGAAATGACAGTTTGTGTATTGATATTAATAGCGCTGTTCTTTTACCGTTTCGCGTGACGTTATGTCCTTGTATGGGCATGTCTTGGAAGGACAAGTAATGCAAGTTGTACCCCTGCGCCCGTATTTTCTATGTCTCTGACTATATTCATTCAGAACATCCACATATTCGGTCTTTATCTAACAAATACCCAAAGCCACTTACTTTAGCGTGACCCCAATTATTATCTGCCTTCCAGAATGGCGTTATCGAAGAAAGCGACATTAAAGAAATGGGCGTCACAAGCGAACTCGAACGCCAAATCTTACTCGACTCAATCAAGGAACTGCCCCCAAAAATTACCGACAATTTCATAAACGTCTGTAATAACAATAACGAACAAAATTCCGTAAAGAGTTGGTTAACTAGGATCAATTTGGAACAGTATTACGAAACGTTTGTTAAGCATTTGTATCACGATATGGAGCGGGTTAAGAGAATATGGGACGTGGAATTGTCGGCAGTATTGGATATTGAAAAGATTGGACACAGGAAGAGGATTTTGACGAGTGTCAGTAGCGGCGAACATATTGTTTCTGGGCCCAAGTTGGAAGCTATCGGTGATTTTGGTTCGTTGGTAAGTAATTTTGAATTATTGTACTTGCGTCTGCCTCTTAATATTGAAATGTCAAGCTGAGCGTATTTATATTTTTGTTGATACTGAGGATAGCCATGTGGAAATGATTTCTTTTTGCACTTCTTGAAGAATTTCAACTATTATTTTAAATTCTATATACATTTGTTTTGTTATCTACCTATATCTACATATATTTTCAAGATAATTAAAAGTTGTACAATAATTTTCTTATTAAATTATTTTTATCCGTTCGATGATTGGTTCTTTTTGCCTTGAATTCTATAACCTTCTTTTTCTTATTGATAGAATAATTTCCTTTCTCATATTCTTAAAAAAAATCTTAGTTATACAGCGGCGGCCCCTGTGAATCATCCTCATTAATGACACTTTCGCAATTTAATTTTCCAGAAAAATACTCAACCTCTACCGGAACTCCCTTCTCCTTCAACCATTTCGGTGAATAGCAATACCGGAACCATAAGACATAGACATAAAAAATCTCGGCCTGCTCCCCCACCACCCGTCAAAAAGGAACCAGAAAAGAAATCTCCTACTGAGATCTCTGTAGGCGGAAGTAATTCCATCAAGTCTCAGTGGAGGCATCAACCAATATTGTTGATAACGGGATGTGTCAAATATAATGCTAATGTAAGTAAGGTTCTTTTAAGTCAATATCAGTAAAAAAAGATTGATAATATCTAAGAATATATTGAAATTAAATAGTAATAACCATAGGTGTAACTAGCGGAAGGAACTTTGCTAATTATGCAATCGGCAGCCGGTAACAACATCTAGTTGTATTACACAACAAGTCAACTATAAGGGAATACCGCCTCTATTTGAAGAACTCAAAAGGAATTTGCTGTTAAACCAGCTTAAACACATCAGCAATTCTTATTAAGTTCCGACCAGATATATTTTTCTACTTGTAATGTTAGTTTAAATTATATACTTATTTTTGTTCCTTTTGATTTGGAGATTTCAGTTTTTATAGCCATTTTTCAAAATTTCAAAATTATTGTTACTGCACAAAATTAAAATCGGTAATAAAATGTGTTAAATTACTTGACCACTTAAAAATAAAAAAACTTCAAATTTTAACGTTTACGGCTTACCGTACTCGAAAACTTAAGACTGTTGAACGAATGAAGGATCTTAGATATTTATTTCTAATGTAATTATAAAATTACTGTCAAACAGGGTGCCTTGAGAAGAATTTAGAGAACTGAGATGGGATTAGAATTTGTGTGTAACGATGGGAGTCTGCATCTGATTAATTTAAGATTACGAATTCGAACATCAACACGTATGTGTGAGATGGCCCAATTGGTTTTCGCCCGGACGGCCCAATTTTCATAATTTCGTAGGGGGAGTTGGGATTTTTCATTTTCAGAATTTCCAAATGTGCAAAAGATTTAAAATTTGGCAAATGTCAAACTCCCGAAAGGAAAGTAATCTATGTCGCTGCGGTTTTGCGCATAACCGGCACATTTTATTTATTACGGTATTACGTTGTTGCTATATTTATTTATTTTTAATTTATAAAATAAACAAATATTTATATAGTATATTTAATAAGCCGCTTCTATATTATTACCTACTTCAAATATGTTTATTGTTTCTTTTTCTTACAAAATAATTCAAAAAATAATCTTTTCAAATTGTATCTATTAATCGATAAAATTTGGTATTTAATACCCACAAAAAATTAGAAATATACTGATTAAAATATTATTTTTTCAGAATCATTCTAGAGGCGCGGAGTTTTATTTCTCGGAAAAAATATATATTCTATTTTAATAGGTATTTTCATTAATTTTTAAATACAGACATAACATAACAATAAACGAGCCCTAACCACTATATGTTGGGCCTTTTTAAATAATTAAAAATTCGTAAACAAGTCTCAAAAATCCTCCTACGAATTATTAAGACCATATCCGAATCCCAAAGGTGAAAACACATACTTGGAGATTTGAAAAAAAAGCCTGCCGATCGAACTTAACACACGCAGACGAAGATATGGGTTTAGTATGCATAAATGCATTTCTGATATACACCGATCGATGGTGTAGAGAGGTATTTGAAAATTTGAGAACGAGCCTGAACGACGTCTGGCCCGAACTAGCACATCAAACTTCTGTCTAGGAATCTCGACAGTCACAGTCGTGGATAGTCTAGTAGAAGGAACACGTATCTAGCAAACAAGGATGTCTGGATTCAATCCCCGGCTCTGGCAGGTTTTATTTCAAATCTCCAAGTATTTGTTTTTACCTTTGAGGTCAGGGTCGCCAAGAGCCAGGTCGGGCCCCAGGAATATTCTCCAGATCGGGCCCTGCGACAATTTTATAAAAACTTTATAAAAAAGCAAAAATTTCTCCTCTTCTTCTTAAATTTCTCTAAAAAAAAAGTCTTCAAGCAAAAACTTCTTCTCCTCTACTTGAATTTGTCTTCAAACAAAAACTTCTCCTCTTTACTGAATCTCTCTAAAAAAAAAAGATCTTTAAGCAAAAACTTCCCTCCTCTTGTCCCGAACTTTTGAAAGTAAAAAAAAATCCTCGCCACAGTTGCCGGGCCCCCCTTATACCGCTGCCGGGCCCCCGTTTGAGCCCGGGCCCCGGGAATTAGTCCAGACTACCCCCTCTTGTCGGCCCTGTTTGGGGTTCGGGGATAGTCTCAATAATTCGTAGGGAGATTTTTAAAATTTGTTTTCTAATTTTCAAATTATTCAACTTATTTCAGATATTTCTGATTTTTCGGATTTCGATTTAAATGTGGAAATGTTTGTTAATTAAGAATTTTTTACAATATTCCTATCAGACATTGTTTAATACCTTCTTAATGTTTAAAATAATCTATTCGACATTAAATATAAGGGTGATACTGGATCTTCCTACTTTCTACATTTTAGCTGACACTCTTTGAATACATTGCAGCCGATGCGATAGTCAGAATAGGTGAACGATACAGAAAGGAAAGTAACGGTTGGTACTTTAAAGCAGAAGGGATAGAAATCTCTGAAATTGCAGTTCCACCATAGAGGTACTCTAAGAAAACTAATGCACGTGAACATAAACTGTTTATTGGAACTATACTGCTACATTTATTTATATTGCTCTACCATCAATAGGGTGTGGCTACAGTGGCTAAGGTTTCGGCAGTAGCCCTGTGTTTCTGTTCTGTATTGTTCATTTATTAATGTGGTTATACTAATCTTTATAGGCATCGTACTGACATACGGTAACAACTCCTTTTCGAATTTTATTGAGACATAATATTGTGATTTTTGGAGCATCTTCAATTTTTTATTTCTCTTGCGTGTCTTTTTATAGTTGACTTGTTCTTTGATACAACTATAACTATTCTTTTTTACCACTACTAATCATTATATTTATCTCAAACATTACAAAATTTATCATAATAGGCGATAGATGAATTCAATTTGCACCAAATTTATTATTGTTCTTTACAGTATCAGTAATACTAAACAAATTTAGCTCAATTTATTTTACTCTTTTTATAGTATTTAGGTTCAACTCTTATTAAGGAATTCAAAGGTATTGAATCGACAAAGAAATCTATTCAAACTGTGATAAAATCCAAAGATCATCCTAGCGAAGAAATTTGTCTTTCAGTGTCGTACAAAGGTGTTAAATTTATCAATCCAATAGCGCAGGTAAGAATAATCACAGAATTTTCTATTAAAAAATATATATATAAAATTATATTTCGTTACAGTGTATCGTTAAAAATAGTGCATTCATTTCATAATAATAATAATAATAATAATAATAATAATAATAATAATAATAATAATAATAATAATAATAATAATAATAATAATAATAATAATAATAATAATAATAATAATAATAATAATAATAATAATAATAATAATAATAATAATAATAATAATAATAATAATAATAATAATAATAATAATAATAATAATAATAATAATAATAATAATAATAATAATAATAATAATAATAATAATAATAATAATAATAATAATAATAATAATAATAATAATAATAATAATAATAATAATAATAATAATAATAATAATAGTTTATTATTTGCCAATAAAGGATGTACAAAAATACAAAATATAAAAAAACAAAAATACACTAAATATACTAATTAGGCAAATAAAAGGTCGAGTGATAGGTCATAAGACCAATTCTACCTCACTCGCCTTGAAAAAAATAAATAAGTAAAATAAAGAATAAAAATACATATACATATCTAGAATAATTTAAAAATACAGTTAAAAGAATAATTAACTAGTGAAAGGAACCTTAATCTATATTAATAAATATTAAAAATCACAAAAAAATACTTAAAATTTAAAATGTCTGTTCGCGTAAAAAAATTTGTTTGTATTTATTTTTAAAAGCTGTTAATGAAAGACTGAAATTTGGTATATCAAGAAGATGACTGTTCAATGCAATTTGGTAGCTAAATGATTTTTTGAATATTTGTTTATTATGAGATGGAATGGTAATGGCATTCTTTTTCCTTAAATTAATATGATGGACGTCGGTCCGAAAACTTATCTTTTGATGTAAGTATGAGGGAATTTTGGTCTTAACTATTTTATAAAATAAACAGAGAGAATGAAGTTTCCGACGATTAAACATGTTCAGCCAATTCGCCTCTTTTAATTTATAAGAAATCCTCTCCCTTCTCCTTATGCCATAGATCATCCTTAAACAACTATTTTGTACTTTCTGAATTCGATTCTTATCAATTAATCGTAAAAAAGAACCATATACCGTGTCGCAATGATTAAAGTGCGATAAAACAAGAGAATCAGTAAGCATTTGTTTAGTTGCAGTAGACAAATCTGTTCTATGTGGATAAATTAGTTTTAGGGAAGAGTAGGCTTTCCTAACCTTCTCGTTAATATGTTTATCAAACCTTAATTGCGAGTCAATAGTCAAACCAAGATTTTTACACGAGGAACTAATTTTTAAAATTTCATTCCCTAAGGTGATTTGTATTTGTGGCAAGATCAGCTGTCGGTTATTTTCACTGCAAAATACAATAACATAACATTTTGTTAAGTTGATATGCAATGAGTGTTTTTCAGATGCACTTACAAGAATAGAGAGATCGTCATTAATACGTCTGACCGACTCTTCAATTTTAGACAGTTCAAAAGAATAATAAATTTGTGTATCATCAGCATATAAATGGCTCTTACAATGATTTAGATGTGAATGTAGGAAGGATGTATATAAGGTGTACAGTAATGGGCCAAGAATGCTGCCCTGAGGAACACCTTTTCTGACTAACAAACAATTAGAGAAAGTGTTGTTAAGAACCACCTGTTGAACGCGGTTTGTTAGATACGAAGTTATAATTTTGATCGACAAATGGCTGAGACGAATAAAATGCAAAATTGCTAATAGAAGTTTGTGGTTCAATGTGTCAAATGCACGTGAATAATCAATTAGTACTAATGTGCATACTTTATTTGCATCAAGTGAGCGCAATATGTCATCGGTAACATCGGAAAGCTTTATTTTCGAGCTGTGGGTATAAAAAAAACGTATTAGTGCTATAAAATCGTTAATAGCTTTTCTTTCACCATTATAACATTATCGTGTTCAATATATTTCCCTCCACGATTCCAAAACCGTTCCATGTGAATTGTTCTATGGTCATACTAGTGTGATAAATCATTTTTTAAGTTTCTTTAACATCTCCACTGTCTCAAATCTGGTTTCTTTCAGTGTTCATTCGACCTTAAATAATAAAAAAAGTTAATATGAGACAAGATCCGGTTACTAGTGTGAATGTTCAAATACAGGGATTTAAATACTTGGCCAAACAACTCTTGACAGAGCCTTCAGCATTGTTCTGAGGGAAACTATGACTTTTTTACTCTTCCTAATATGGATGTCGTAACAGCCCAAACACTTAACTGACAGTTTTATTATTGACGCACTGACCTGTTCAATGTTTGTGCCTGTTTTTGAGGTGCAAGATCGTTATGAGCACTTAAAAATTCTGAGAGCGTGACAAACACCTATCTCCATATTATCCTTTTTTTTATTAAAGCATACCTATAAAGTTTCAGTGGCAGCAACCTTTACAAGGATGTCACGTGACACGTGCTTGTTCAGTTTGTCTTCACGCCCTTACCATTTGTCTGCAGAATGATCAGTCCCGGTATTTTTTCGCCACACCTCGTATTACAGAACTGCGTAATATACAATAATATATATTATTTTAATTTTTAGATACTGAAAATAATACTAATAATTAATTATCACAATAAAATTTATATTTGGGAGTATGTCTGGTGGTTCAATAAAGTGGTAACGATTTTATTTAAGGTTTTGTTAAATTAATTTTTTCCTTCCAGAAAATAATTTGTGAACATGAAATTAAAAATATGAACTGCGTTTGCCAGGATATGGAGAGCCAAGCCTATTTTGCGTATATTACAAAAGACGGCGAGTCTTTTTATTGCCACGTCTTTCAAGGGTTCTCTTCGGTAAGTTATGGTAGATAAGTAATTAGAAAATAACCATGACAATCGAAATACACTTGAACATTTTTTAGTCTTTTAAGTTTCCGTGTTTTACAGAATTTTATATACTCGGTTGAATTTAATGCGTTTGAAACTAAATAATATTAAGAAGCATTATGATTTTACTCTATCATAAGCACAGCCTGAGTTGAGGTGTTGGACTACTTACTATGCGACTATAGCCGTGCTCAGATTGAACCTAAGGAATAGGCACACTTCAGTAGGCATATGTCCTAACTATTGCGCTGTGTTATAAATTGACTATATCTTTAAAAGTTTTCCTCAATATATCAGTAGAACGCTGCAACTACCAGTACAAATATATTTTTATTTTTGTTTGCGTTTCTTTAGGTACATAAAAATTGATTTTTTCAATATTTTTATTTCCAGGAACAAGCCATAGATATAATCCTCACTCTAGGCCAAGCCTTTGAACTGGCTTACCAAATGGCAGTTAGGGATCAAGTTACTAGCAAAAGTAGGTCCCATAAGGACATCTATAAGCCAGCGGTAAGTCCCGGATCAGTTTCTTCCAACAGCAGGGATTTCAAAGACGCCAGTACCCGCAATGCTGACGTCAAACTAAACGGTCACCCGTTGAAGATGATGCCGTTGACATTGTCAATAGCATCTGAACCTGGAGGTGATGCCAATTCTGGAAGTGCTAAGAATGCGGAACATTAAACGCCTGCTGTAGATAAAGCTCTACAACACGTCGAAGGAAATTAGGTGAGTGAAAGTTTTTAATGGTTGTGGAACATTGAGTGAGGTACATGGTACATGAACTATTTTATTGTCAAGAAAAATTTGGTTAATGTAGCTATCAAAGTTGAAATATTTAGATTGAGAAATGAAACATTGGGCAATGTTAAGACTTCATATTGATTATAAAATTGACAACATAATTATACAAATTTTCAAATTCAAATCATTATTAACGAGCATAACGTTATGGCTTTGCAAGAGAAAAAATATGAAGCGATAAACATATGTTTAAACCTAATCCAAACAGTTTACTAAAAAAGATAACTTGATTAATTTTAAAAGACTAATTCAACTTTGATAATATGATTATTAAATAATATTATTGTTAAATTATGTTCTGAAAACAATGAAAATTTTATTTCAGCCTAAAAAAATTATACCGGAACTGGTTTTAATAACATTATGGTATTTTAATAAGTGAAATAAACTAAAACAAATAACCATTTAAAACATGGACCACTTGAATGGTATCCGCATCTCACGTGAACTGCTGGCAAAGCAAGAAATTTAATGAAAATGTCCGTTCTTAGTGATTGTTTTACCAGTTCTGTTTAATCAGTGATTTTGGTTACCACTGAAGTTATTAATTTTTACCAATAACTTAAATAAAAATTATAATTTCCTAGAACGATTGACTATACGGCAGTGGCGGTTCGTCGTTAAAGATATTGAGCGTTCCGCAAGATACTGCCTTCACCTCCTAAAAAAATTCTATTCGGCGGTCCATTTTAGCAGCAAACGTATACTCATACGCGTATTTAAAACATCATTTTCCGTTTAACTTATAAACTACATCCATGTCTTTCATGTATAATGGAAACGCGCGCTGGCGCATTAATACAAACTAATAATCTACAAAACCGAAATCGAATCACATCACTTATGCGACAGACTATAAACAAAGCTCACCGGTCTGGCAAAAATGCAGATCAAAAGCTACGTGTCTTGGCGTTAATTTTTAGAGAGCCGCGGAGAGGTGAGACGATGAGCGCGGGCGGCCGAAGCGGTGCACAGACCGTCTGGAAGCGAGCCAGCTAATAGATGAATATGAATTTTCCACTGATCCGCTCTTTACTTATTCTTACCTATGAACTAATAGAAGGATACGTTCACGCGCTATGGAAACTATTTAATAATTAAAATTTATGAGTTTATCAGTAAAATTTATTTTACGTATATTTTAGAATGTCTAAAATAATTTCTGTGAAATGTAGACGAGATACTTATATTTTTTGGCAGTTCTGCAGCTCTACAGCACTTATGCACCAACCATCACTCCTATACTATGATTTTATGATTGATAAGGTGTTTTTTTTTTTTTTAGTAAATTTGTTTCCGATTTAAATGTAAATCGCTTACGTTAATTTAAAACCACAAGATTGGAAAGGTAATAAATACGACTAACCATATCCCTGAATCAAGTGAATAATTGTTGATTTTTAATTGGTTACGATGGATTTAGACTTATTTATGTTCCTTAATACCATCATGACACCGTATATCATATTGACTTACATACAGTATCGGCTATTGGACGCTTTCCAATACGCTTTGCTAATCTTAAAGTGAAAACTAGAGAGAGTTAGCATTATCGCTAGCAGGAAACGAATAATATCAACGTTGCAGTTTAAACGGCCTGGCACACATCGAGAGATATCCGGACGAGGAAAAAAAATTTGGAATTCTAAAATCTTTATAAAAAAAATGAACCTTATCAATCACACTGACCAATCGTTTTAAGAAATTGTTAAGTAATTTTTAGATGCATATCAGAATTGTGCCTGTTTTTCATTTGTAAAATATCTTATGTTTATTTGGTTTTCATGTATGTTTGATTAAATATTTGTTTTTAAACTATTTAAAAAAATTTATATTGAAATATGAGACCGTTATTTTAGTTATTTTGAATTATTTGGTTTTAGTTGATATAGTTAAAGATATGATGATGGCACCATAACGGTATTAAAACCGGTTGGGTAATAATTAATTTTTTTTAAAAGGATTCGAGAAATAATAATTATTTTTTAAGAAACTTTCTTATTTTTTCAAGAATTCTCGCCAGAATACATTATATGAATTTACTTAAAAGGAATATAACAAATATTTCTTCACGGCCACTACAGAATGTAGTTCTTCCAAAAACCGAAAAAAGATTCTCGCTTTTGAGATTAAATGAAAATTCTAAAACACTTGCCTCTTATGTATTTACACGTATTTCATTCTAACTCTAGTGACAGAATACAGAACGTTCATTTTGTAATAGCTACTGGCCAATGGGTGTGAATATCACGCCCGCATCGTAGATAGCCATGCATTTCATGATTGACAGTTGTACGCAACGTATTATTTAGTTTGAATTTATCTGAATAAAGATAAGCGGAGTTTGTTAAGTCAAACTTAATGTCAAAAATTGGTGAATATGGAATTTGATAATATTCCTCCCGAACTGACAAATTATGCATATAATTTAAATAAAAACTTGCCTAACATAAGTTAGATTAAATCTTTAATTTTGTTAAATGTTTCATTTTACTATATTCAACTCCTACTATGTCTGTGGCCGTGGAGAAAGTACAGTCTGTTACTCAGTTGGATTGAAAATCCGATACTCGTACCGACTATTCATTCCAACCTTGTTACAGAATATATTATTCCTAAATCGTGTTGAGTTTTCATTTTGATTTTAAAATAATATTAATTTGACCTTATACGGTAAAAATCGACCAAACTATTATATAAATTATACTAAGATGAATGTTTCGCTAGTAGAGATTGTTAGACAGCTTCGTAAAACTCTCTAATCACATCTGATTTATCACTGCCAAAATTTCGAAAATAAAAATATATATTAAGACTTCTCATAAATTACTTACAAAATATAAATGTCATTTAGGAAAATTAACATAATTTAAAAAATATGTTATTGTAAATTAACTATAAATTTACTAATTGAAATAAAAACTTACTTTTCTGCTATTTACTAAATTTGCATATTTTTAAATAATAATGATAGATTGCTGGTTTTGTATGACTTTTCAGAAAACTACAGATAAAACAAATTCAATTATTTATTTACATCTTTATCAGATAACCCATTGTACTTTAATTAATAGCCCTTGTAAAAGTTAATGTTATTATCCCTGCTAATATGTTAATGTAAAAAGCGGTTATTTACGGCCATCCGACGAAGTCTGATATTGTGTGACAAGGGGTGGGAGGGGTCTTAAATTTCGTGACCTCACATTTCAAAATATAATATATCTAAGTATTGAAACACGAAATTTGCACTATTGGATGTATTTGTAGATTTGAGAAAGAACCAGAACTATCATAGGAATCATAACAGTCGTCAATGTCGTTGATAGTCTAACAGTAAGGACACATGGATGCCTAGGTTCGACCTCCAGCGACGAAAGGTTTTTTTTTCATATGTACAAGTATTTCTTTTCACCTTTGGGGTCCGAGGATGGTTTTAATAATTCGTAGGGCGATTCTGGAGATTTGTTTTCGAATTTTCAAATTATTTTAGTCACTTATTTTTCAGATATACTGATTTTACGGATTTCGATACTAAATTCACAATTTTCAAATATTTTTAATTTAATAATTTATAGATGTAAAATTGCAAAATATATGACGTCATACTAGACAGGGGGAGTTTCACAAAAGTGACCTGCTGTAACGTTATTTATGGAAGGCACCTTTGATTTAAGTACATGGTGGGGCAAAATAAAAAGCGACTTTGAATAGTTTGGAAATCATGTTGCGATGATGCTGTCGGCCATGTTCTTACCGAAAAAAATAGCATTATTGCTAGTTTTAATGCTGAACTGTTCCAGAACGGAATTCATTATTTAAAAATTTGGAAAAATTACATTTTCATGTAAATTGTTTTAATGTTGTAGCGGAAAAGTATTTTTTCCAGAATGGGTAACTGTTATTTCTTCTGTGGAAGAAGCTTGCTAAATTTTAACAAAATAATTCGATCAATTTTAGATTTAAATTTTGAAATTAATGCTGCCAAAGAGTTTTCCGAAATGAAAAAACTAAAATGACTATTAAAAATTTATTTGGAATATTTTTTATCGCAAAAGATGATACGAAAAACAATCACATATTTGTCTAAGGATATTGGGTATTGTATAAGTACCGAAAATTAAATTTTGGGAAATGTACCTACTATTTAATTGGTTAATACAATAAAACTCAGAAACTCAAAAACTTTGTACCATGTACTTTTTTTATTATTGATTTCTAAAAAAAATTATTATTGATACAAGTTGGTGCAATGCCTAAAACTGAATTTTAAAAACGATTATTTAATTTGGAATTAACAAAAATTTTCATAGTTGTAGAAGAAACATATAATTCACAACCTCGTTTGATCCACTCCTAAGGCTTTTGCATCAGTAACATTCCTCGTAACAGGAGTTCTTTTAGTCTTTATTTACATAATTTATTTTATTCTTTATATACATAATTTCTTTTAACTCTTTTATAATTAATTTGTCCTTCATGGTTCAAATAATACACTTACCTTAATTTTTGACTTTACAACAGCGTTTCTCAACCTGTGGGGCGCGACCCCTTAGGGGGCGCCATAACTCTACATGGAGGCGCCAGCACATCAAATTTAAAAAACAAACGACAATTACTAATAAAAAAAAATTATTTCACAGAAAAAAAGCAAAAAATTAAGTAAGTACAGTACATGTTTAAACTAATATATCATTTAATTATTATAAATATGATTGTGTCAGTAGGTATTGTCAACAAGCAGTAGGTTCTGTCAAATGCCAAATATAACTAATAATAAACTCATCAGTATTAAATTCGAAGAAGCTTTAATAATTATCAGTGACTCCTTTGGGCCTGTCTCGCACTTCAAAGTTTTTCAAAAGAAGGTTTTATATTACAAATAGCTACTCTCATTTCTTTGTCAATATTCTGTTGGGACCTATATTTTACCTTTAAAGCAGCCACCGTAGAAAATCCGACTTCGCAAAGGTAGGGTGTTGAAAATGGCAATAATATACGAATTGCTCTTGTTTTCAGTGTTGAAAAGGCATCATCCACTCCTTCAAAAATTCAAAAAAGATTTACTACTAAATTCTCTCTTGATTTCGCCGCTTGCAGTAAAGTCTATGAAGATTTCTTCTTCTGCAGTTGAGAGACCTTGCTACCTGTTTGTCGTCAACAAGAAAATAATATGTGCCAACATGGCTAAATGACTTTCTATTGTTACAAAAACATTGTATGTTTTGACACCCTCATTTACATTTGCAAACATTTCTAGTTTTTTTTTGTTTCACATTTCACCAACTTTCTACAAAAAGATTTATCACTGGTATCCAACATATGTGTGTTTATTTCTTAGAGTTGTAGATTCAGGGTATTCAATTTGTCGAATATGTCGACCAAGTAGCTCGATTTCATCACAAATAAAGCATCTCGAAACTCTTCGGCTTTCCTCTTCTAGAAAAGTGACAATTTCCCCTTTTAACTCATAAACACGTTGCAAAAATTTCGCACACGTTAACCGTCTGGCCTCCCAATAAAATAGCAACGTCGAATGTTCTGCACCAATATCTTTGCAAAGTGCATTAAAGATTCTTGATTTTGGTAGTCTTACTTTTATATAATTTACTACAGTTACAACCGTCGTTAGCACAATGTTGAAACCAGGACTCATTTCTGTGAAAGCCAGAGCCCTCTGTGGATCTTGAAATGGGTCTAGACACTTTGCGGAGATTATTGTTTCATAGGTGCATGTACACTTTGGAATCTTCCAGACATTGTACGATCACCATCGGTGCATATTCCAACGCAATTCTTCCACTCTATGTTTGCCTCAATAATAAAATCATTTAAAATATCAAACATAGCTAGTGCTGCTGCTTTGATTTCTATAGGTTTGTAAGAAGGTAGTTCTTCTACTGCCGATATACCATCACAAAATCGGACATAGGCAATTAAATGAGCGTCTTTAATGCTATATGTTGCCTCGTCAAGCTGAATCGAAAACAATT